CATCACTTTCAAATTTTCTATCTGGCGTATAAGAATTTTCGTAACTTTAGTATCCTCTTCACTTTCAATATGAGACTAGCATGCAAAAAAAAAATGGTGATCATTCGTCCGATATTCTCATCGTGTGTGGGGCTTGACAGTTGTCCCCAAAACAGGAATTGAGGGAAACTCTTCCAGTGTCGAAACAAATTTTGGTGACAACTGTCTTGTTGCTGATTTTGGAGAGATCTCCTCTTTCTTCCTATCGTGTTTATGGAACAGGAAGGGAAGGAAAATCTCATCAACAGGACAAATACAGCAATAAAAGAAGGGCAGGGGTTCTAACCCTCCCCTAGCCCATTCAAAACAATTTGGGCAAGTTATGGCTGTTGATGATGTGACCATTCCTGTTTTAGATTTGAAGCCTACAATTAGTGCTGAAGGCCTCACCTTTTTCTTGTGTCTGAAGATTTCAGCATTTTTTCTGTACTCCCATCCTTAGTGCTGTCCCTTTCCTGCGACAAGTTCAAAGATGGCACCACAGTCTCATGAGTTACTGGAAGGGCATCTTCATCGCCTCCTTGCTGGCCCAGGTGCTGCTTGGCATAATCAAAGCCTTGGACGGGCTGTATGAACAGGTACAGAAAATAATATATTGAGTTTATAGTGAGTGTGCCATGACAAACAAAATATTTTGTGTTCACGTTCTTATATTGGACTAAGTCTGTGAAGGTTCACTATATCTAGTAGTAATTGGTCACATTCAATTGGACTTGTTTTGCAATGCTAAAGACATTTCGTAGCTTATCCTAACCACTTCTTCAGTTCAGATGAGTGTCATTTTTCCTAGCATTCATTAGAACTGTATAAGTTACATAGTTAGTCTGGCTGAAAAAAAAAAAAGTCCATCCAGTTCAACCATTAAAAAAAAAAAAAGTTATAATCCTATACCCACAGGTGATCCAGTGAAAGGCAAAAAAAAAACCCAGCAAAGCATGATCCAACTTGCTCCTGCAGGGGAACAAATTCCTTCCTGATCCCCCGAGAGGCAATTGGATATTCCCTGGATCAAATTTACCTATAAATGTTAGTATCCAGTTATATTCTGTGTATCCAAGAAATAATCCAGGACTTTTTTTTAAAGCAATCCACTGAGCTGGCCAGAACCAACTCTTGAGGGAGTCTATTCCACATTTTCACAGCTTTCACTGTGAAGAAACCTTTCCGTGTTTGGAGATTAAATTTATTTTCCTCCAGACGTAAAGAGTGCCCCCTTGTCCTCTGTGATGACCTCAGGGTGAATAACTCTACACCGAGTTCACTATATGAACCACTGATGTATTTATACATGTTGATCATATCCCCCCCTTATGTATTATACAAAAGTTTCAGATCATATCCCTCCCATGCCTTGTATCAGTTTGGTTGAAGGGACAAGCAAGTTGTTAGGATAAGCTATGAAACATCTTCAACATTACAGAACAAGTCCAGTTAAATGTTGCTAACTGCTACTTGATACAGTATATTGGTCTCCCAAAAAGAAATAATCCAATGACGAAGGTCCAAGCCTTCCTTCTTCTTACAAACATCGGGAGCTCTGCATTCTCATTCCCAGTCTAAGTTGAAATAGAATTAAAGGCAAAACTTTTTTAAAAATGTTGGATAGAGTATTGGAAGGGCATAACCTATGTCAAGTATTTTTATGCCATCTGTATCCCATTGGGGAGATTTCCCTTCATGTCTTGTCCCACAGCCAAAAGAGGGGATGAGGGGAAATACCTCTAAGGGATCAGGGTCACCAGAACTAGTGTCCCCATTGGAAGATTTCCCCACTAGCTCGCCACCACATGCAATGCAATCAAGAAGAAGGGTTAGCCGCACATTGGATGGTTGATGAAATATCACAATAGTTTATTGAATTCATAGGACATAAAAGGCACCAGGAAAAGTACAGAACTGTTGACTCGTTTCACACTATCGCGTGCTTATTCATAACTGTTATAGGAGTAAATAGGAGGAATTTCTGTTAAGGTTTATATGCTGTGAACTTTGGGATTAGTAGCTCAGTGGTAGATACATTTTTAGTATGCCCACACTAGTCCAAACTGTGGTTTTAGGGCTTGCCAGCCCACTTATAACAAACATAAAGTCCACAAAGCAGTTGCCCATGCAGAGGGTTTTCACCAACAAAACAGATATCGAAAATTTCAAGCCACATGGCTCTCTCTTCAGCAGCACTGCTGCTCTTTTCAGTGGTCCTTAGACCATCTCACCTAGTTTCCCTGGCTCTCAGGGCTCTCCTGACTCCCTCAGCCAGTAGTTACAGCACCTCGCTGTACAGGCCCACTCCCTGACCTCTCAATGGGGGATCTTCCGGCACCTGGTCACTCCCACTCCAACAAGACTTACAGACTTTCTTGGTTCTCTGGACTTGCCTAGTTGTCTCAGCTCTCCCAGTCCTCCAGACTCCAGCTGTTCCAATTCTCTCAGTCCTGCGGGTAAGGAATTCCTCCTCCAACATGGAGTGCTGTCTCCTGATTAGAGCTCTTCTTCTAATGGGAGTACCAGGGGCGGACTGACAACTCATGGGGCCCCCGGGCAATAGGGGATCATGGGGCCCCTGTGTCCTTGCCCAAACTCAAAAAAGCCTATGAAAAAGGTACCAGGGGCATCTCATGGGGCCCCCTACTGACCTGGGGCCCTCGGGCAGTGCCCGAGTTTCCATATGGTCAGTCCACCCCTGGGGAGTACACCTGTCTCCTGATGGGAGATCTGAGCTTTGGTCAGGTTTTTGCCTATAACATGCGTGCACACCTGCACACTCACACAGCCTGCAGGTCTCCAGTAAGACCTGGACACAGGATTGGAGACTTCTACCCACCCAAATCGAGGCAGGGGCGGACTGACAACTCATGGGGCCCTCAGGCAATAGGGGATCTGGGGCCCCTGTATCCTTGCCCAAACACAAAAAAGTCTATGAAAAAGGTACCAGGGGCATCTCATGGGGCCCCCTACTGACCCCAGGCCCTTTGGCAGTGCCCGTGTTTCCAAATGGTCAGTCTGCCCCTGCTTCGAGGTCTCCAAGCTCCAGACCCTAAACCTGGATTACAAAACCCAGAGAAAACTGAACCAGCAGTCTTCCCCGCTCAGACACAATACTCCGGAGCCCCATGCTCTGCATTATCATGGACCCTGAGTCGCTTTTCCCTATACTCATACAGTGCAAGACCATAGAGCTGTTACAATACACTTTAAAGAAGTCAAATTCTTCCTTACAAATGTGGAAATTAAATTATCCTGCTGCCCTACAGAAAAACAAGAAGATCTCACTATAATGATCTTCTACTAAGAATAACAGGAATGCCTCAAAAGAGTGACGGTTCCTAGGCAGACTTGCATCAAATGTTGTCTGATTGAATAGAGCCAGATAGTCTATACCTTCAGCATATCAGTTTTGTGTGGATAAACCCTTAAAATCTGGTGTCTGTGAGCTCTTAGACGGCTGCAGCCGGGAATAAAGCAGTAGTAACAGGCAACAGGCCAACTGTTAACAGCCTGTCTGTCAGCACTCAGTCCATTAATAAATCTTTGCAGATCTGTAAACATGGCACAGTAGAAAATTAATTTCAAGAGAAGGAAGCATTTGACTACGCCAAATCAAAGATCTATTTAAACATTATGAATATGAATTGCAGGATGTCGTAATATTATCTTGAAATCAATATCATAAACACTGTTAATGCCTGATGCAGGAGGCCAGTACATTAACTGCGTGGAACTGAGTAACCAAAACAACATCACATAACAGATGGACTCCCCACAGACTATAACATCTATATCATCTAACCACCCATGGGCTGGAGTTCTGGTTCAGCAAAGGCTGTGAGATGACATAAAATTCTCAACAGGAGGGGCATTCAGTTAAAGTGGAACTAAAACCTAACTAACTCTTTATTGTATAAAAGATTTACGATGCCTCTTCTGTAAAAATACAAGTTTTCTTGTGAATGAGTGCAGAGCTGTGCATGCTCAGCTTAGTGTGTATTCTCAGTATGTGTGCATGCGCAGGATGATGTCACCCCCCACAGGTAAATCAAGAGACCAAATAATCCGGCACCTGGGGATAAGATGACAGTGGCCAGTGAGGGATGTCCCACCGGCTCCCAATCTTGATTAGAGACCAAGAGATGTCTAGGACACCTCAGTCGCTGTGCTGGTAGCACAGAAATCTTGGCTATCCATGAATACATATTTGAGGATTAAAGCCCACCCTCTTTGCCCCTGCATGTATGTGTTATGTGGACAGCAAGGGGTTAACCCTTTGAGGACCAAGGGACGTATTTGTCCCATGTTTGTAATTGTGTGTATCATCTGATTAAGAACTTAAAGCTCTTTTTTTTTTTGGTTTGAGTCAAAATATTAGTTCTTATCAACAAACAACAAATGGATCTAGCTTTTTGCCAATTATTTCATGAAATGGCTTAGTTACAGCAACTGAAGTGTACGAACTTTAAAAACAAAAAAAAATGGATTCTTTTGGCGTTCCAAAACCTTACGGTCCTCAAAGGGTTAAGGGTTGAGCAGTGGCTTTATTCTGTTTGTTTTTAAGTTGTCCTATACTTAAAAAATTAGAAGCTACTTTATCCACCCCCTCTCTCTCTCTCATGCATAGAAAAATTGGACCCAGAGAATGGTATCCATGGCCCATACACTGCTGCAGTGCATCAAACATTGACATGACCCTGTGTCAGCAAGCATGTCACTGGCACATCTCCCAGCTTTCAAAACCAGTCTTCACAATTTGGCCCCATTCCCTGCACTTAATTACACATTTTTGGAACCTTGTTCAAACTTCACTACGACTTCTGATTCAGAAATTTCAAATTTCGGAACTCTGTACATTTTTAAAGAGGTTGCCAATGGTGAAAGGGACCATGTGACAGATCATTAAACACCGCACAGTAGAAAAAGCATGAACATAACAGAAGGCACCATGAACACAACAGAAGTCACTAATATTTAAAGCTCAATTATGGGCAAAATAAAAAAAAATTGCAAATCCTATAAAAGGAAGTGGAAAAACAATGCATCTACGAGCATAAAACTATGTTACAGAGATGCCTTGTTAACCCCTGCACGCCTAAGGGTAAAAAACAAATCTCAATGCCTAAGCACAATTTTTGCAACATTGACATTGTTAGTAATACTGTACATATCATCACAACTACTTTGTACATCCAGGTGATATATACCTTGTACTTTCAGGACAAATTGGGCTTTTGTTTGGTGGTAAATGGTAATGGATTTTATTATTATTATCAAAGGAAAACTGGCCCAAAATAGTAAAAAAAAATTTTTTTTTTAATTTAGCTATGTGTTTACTGTTACTACCATAACCTACCGCCAAAGAACAACCCAAAATACATTTTCCAGCTCTTGATGATCACAGCGATACCATATACGTGTATGTTATTTGTTGTTTGTACCTGTTGTACAGCCCAAAAACAATAGTGCGCATTTTGTTTTTTTGTTTACCTAAAACACACTGACACTAATACCAATTAAAAAAAAAATACTGACCTTTGACCCTGACCTTTTGACCTTGACCCGAACACTTACCCTGGCACTGAACTAGATCATACCTTGATCTAGGAATTTTTCTTTATTTTTTCTTTTATTTTTTAATATTTATTTATTTATCTTTTTTTTTTTTTTTTTTTTTTTACCAAACATTTTTTTCCCTCTATGCCAGGAGTTAGAGAGATATAATGTATCTCTCTCCTCCATTCATAGAGAGAAAATAAAACAAGGGGGCCGGGCTGTACAGTGACTGATCACTGTGATAGCCAATCAGAGGCTATCACAGCAATCATGTGACCCAGAATCGGGAGTCCCGGGTCCCGATCATTAGCACGGGACCCGGGCCTCTCAGTGACACCCTGGTCTTTGTGCTGGGAGCGCGTGGACCTAGGTAGGCTAAATGTTTTTATTCCATTTGTATGGACCATAATTCCTCATTTCTAAGAACATGTAGGGTCAGACCCTTGGTGACTCAGAATATTGGAAAGCTGTTGCTGGAGGCTTCATCCTGTCCAAAGCTCTACAAAGCCTCCAAGCTCCAGGACCCATGCCAGAACTTATTAAGAGCTGGGAAAACAATAAGGTTTGTGACATGTATACAGCATTCCTCATTATATATATAATATTATTATTATTATTACTATTATTATTATCAACACACACTTCATAGTCTGACATGTACAAAAGCATCCAAAAGCAGATATGTTGGGTAAGCTGGGTGTTTCTTTTCAATGTGTAATGATCCTAATTTCTCATTTCTAGAAAAATGCATAGTCAGACCTTGGAGTCTCAGAATAGTGGAGTGCTGGCATTTGCAGCCCCAGGTAAGAAAGACTGAGCACAGCTGATATGAAGACTATTGCTGGGAAACTAAGCTGCAGATTACAAATAAGACAGGAATGATTATGTAACAAATTATTATATAAAAATCTGGTGAGAAATAAGTTTACTTCCCCATATGAATAGGGGAAGATGGTTATTATGTTGGATGCTTGCTCTCTAGTCACGCATCAGTTTCCATCTGTATTTGGACTATTAATATTTTTCCCTTCTCTGAGACGTTGCTTATAAACAAAATAAACTACAGAATGATGACAGATATGTTCCTGCAGCATAATGAACCTCAAAACTATACCTTATTATAGAAATGAAAAGTGACGCAGATGTCATCTTGAAGCACAAATTAAATGCATTATGATTTAAAATGTATGGCTTTGAAAATCTGGCTCTGGATTACCTTGGTCCTCGGAGGCATGTTGCTGAGATTATCAGACTTGAAGTCACTTTTGTTCTTCCGGCAAAGGACAGCAGTGATGATGATGATGATGACAGTCACAACCGCTATGGGGGCCAGCACAGCTGCAATTATCCATAGATTGTGTTGGTGGTTTTTGGACCACGGCTTTTAAAGGAATGGAAGAAAAGACAGATTGCAGGTTTATACTTTGACATCAATAGATATATTTCAAATGAAAGATGGACTTACTGTGCATTCTTTAAAAATGCAATTATTTTGAGTTCAAAAACTACAGGAACATCAAAAGACTCATACTCCAATGTCATACTCCAGCTTATATTAATGTTTCGTTCCACCATACATTAAAAGCACTGTGTCTGAACAAATTTTTCTTGCAAAAACCTTAAACGACTCTGTCAGGAAAAAAATAATGCAGATAAATATGTTCTGCAAAAGAAGAGACTGTATACTCTTCTCTCTGCAGTCTGTAAATCCTACTTATTTCTGTTCCAGCGCTGCAACCTCTGTCACTTTTGGGAGTACTGGATGTCTCTGCCCCTGCCACATGTTGTGGTTTCTTCCTGAAACCCCAATATATCTACAGGACACTGCAGTGATGCAGGTCTCAGAAGGAGGGACCACTACGTGCAGCAAGGGGTGACAGAGACATCTGATACTCCTGGAAATGTTAAATGCTGAACCAAAGGCAAACAAACGAACCAGCGCTCAAATCTTCATGCAGGCTACAAAAAAATTCAACAACTACAAAAATACACTCCTGCGCCACAGAATGTCTACAGCCACAGGTATACAATGCTGCTGTGCACTAGTGTAAACACCATATCAAGAAAAAAACAAAAATAAACAGCGCAAATAATACCTACACCAATTCAATATTCCAAACTGGATACATAAATGTGCAAAAAAAATATGTATATATAAGTGTGACACACTCAAATCAGAAAAATAAATAATAAAAAATTATAAATTACTAATTAGCACACTAAAAGTTCTAAATAAATAAAATAAAGTATCTCAAAGAAAAAACACTCACTTTCACCCTTGAAAGCTGCACAAGAAATTATAAAATCTTTTCTTTTTTAAATTAAATAAAATTCATAAAATGTATATATCCCCCCTTATCTAAACAACCATAAGTGTAATTCCAAAAGACTATAGTCCTCTTTTTTTCTTCCAATTATTTCTTCCAAAAAATGTCTCTCTTATTTTCACTCTTCGTGTAATGTCCAAATATTCATGAACCTCAGAAACCAAAAAAAACTCAACATAGTGTATTATCCTTATACAAAAAAGAAAATAGTGCCATTCATTGTGAATTACATCACACACTAAAACTGTGCATGTGAAAGAAAAAAAAAATAAATTAATAACTGAATAAATGTGCCCAAAACAACTCAATTCATGAAAAAAATAAAATATATAAATAAATTGTATGTAAAAATAAGTCCAAAATCCTTTTTCCCAGCCTTCAAAGTGATTAGACAAAAGAAATGATCTTCTGTAAATGTGTGCTTCCACCTTCCACCAGTGCAAACCAACATAAACCGCACTCACCAGATACTGGTGAATAATAGGCCTTTAGGATTTTCAGGGATCCTACACCCCCTCTATAGCCTCCAGACCTCCATTCCACCATACAGGGCTAGCGTAGTCCTTCACTCCCTCCTAGATCAGGACCTCCAAACCAGCAGATACTGGTGAATAATAGGCCTTTAGGATTTTCAGGGATCCTACACCACCTCTATAGCCTCCAGACCTCCATTCCACCATACAGGGCTAGCGTAGTCCTTCCACTCCCTCCTAGATCAGGACCTCCAAACCAGCTCCACCGTTGTGTCAAAGAAAAAATATCATATAGTGTAATATTGCCAATGATCATCAAAACATATAGATATATACCAGGCCACTCACATTTTTCCAAATTTAATCAAAGCATGTTTTATTATCCTCCATCGATCAATAAAGACTATCACCATCCAGAAATAGCTCTCAGAAACCTCACAGCTCGGCTAGCAGAGGATGACAATGTGTGATACAGGCAGATCCCAAAATGGCCGCTTGGAATGCACCGCTTGGAATGCATCGCTCAGACGGCGGGTGCCGGGGATAATGGTCTGGTCTGACACTCTTAATACTCCAGCTTGGACAGGTACCTGGAATACTGGGCTGAGGTGTGGAGGCTCAGTGCCAAGTAGTAAAGATAAAAGTGCTCATAGTGTAGTATTGTAAAGATTTATTAAGATATCATAAATGAAGTAACAATATGAGCATAAACGCACAGGGTGATTGTGAGTAAAAATAAGCTCCTGAATACACTGACCAGTGGAACCATGGGGTGGCCGCCGGACCTCCTGATCCGTCGGCGTGACGTCAAGGCGTGCAAGGACTTCTCCTAGACGCGTTTTGTGTAATGACACGTCTGCTGTAGGGGTGATGCCGTGGAGTATTAAGAGTGTCAGACCAGACCATTATCCCCGGCACCCGCCGTCTGAGCGACCATCAGAGGATACTTCCATAGGACCTCCGGCTACATGAGATCTCTATACGCGCATTAAGATTGCGCTTCTGGTGAGTGGGCAATCTTTGTGTACCTTCACGTCGGGATACTGGAATACACTCGCTGTGATTGCAGCCTTGTGTTTTACCTGGGACTGTTTACCATTCAGATTATAGGACTTTACCAATCAATACTCATATCCGGCTAATTGTATACATTATTTGTATTTTCTTCATAGCGCTGCACTCCTAATTTTATGTTGTATTTATAAGAAAGGCTTTGTGGTTCCTTTTAGTGCACAAGCCGCTTACACGGTGCACTCGCTAGTTCACATACTCACATCCTTAATGAAATTATGTTCTCATTAGGGTTGAGTTACTAAAGGCAAACAGACTGTGCACTTTGCAGGTACAAAGAATACCCAATCACATGCAAAATATTACAATTAAAAAAGCAGCATTTTGTACATGATTGGATGATGGAAGTCAGTAGAGCTTCATCTCATTTACTAAGTTCTGCAGCAACTGCACTTGCAAAGTGCACAATCTATTTGCCTTTAGTAAAGCAACCTCATTATCTCCTACAACCTTTACACATCTGTTAATATTATTATAATCTCTTTTACAATGTTGTACATAAACAGATTTATAAAAATGATGGCACTTGTGCATTATCCATTTAATATTTTGTATAAATACAAATGAGGTAAGGTGAGTTAGCACAAACCCTGGCAATGGTAAGAGCATGTAAATACCCAAATACCACATAAATTACTTTTTTAATTGTAGATATTGTTAGAATTTGTTTTCAGTGGGATCAGATATGCCATTAGAAACGAACTTACGGTTGGCTTGCACCTTCACAATATAACCAAGGGTCAGTGCCATGGTTTGAGGATCGATGGTACTCAGCTGCTTGGCAGCCACTGTGCCTGGTATTGGTTGTCTATCTAACAAAGCGTAGTAAGTCAACTCAGCCAGATTATTAGCACCCTCCAATCTCTTCATGGTCACCATCTATAAAACAAGGCAATGTTAAAATATAGTGCTAGCTTTCCAAATGTTATACGAATGGCTTTGTACCCATAAAAGCAAACTAATCAAGGCAGTCATAGTTCTTCTACAGTAATCTGGAGCTGCTGTATAGCACCAAACTAGTGCCTCTAGTCATTATTTTGCTTTCCCTAAAATGTCTGTCTATTGCTCAACAGCTTAAGGCGGAGCTCCACCCAACAGGGGAAGTTTTCCCCGCTCCCCATTAAGGATTGGCACCTTTGGGGAGTAGGGGGAATTGGGTAGCCAATTTTGACAGGTACCCACTACTAAGGGACCATTCATAATGCACAGCACCCCTTGTGCAGTGGGCATCCGGCTGTGAAGCCTCAAGCTGTCACAGCCAAGTGCCCACACTTAAAGCGGAGCTCCACCCAAAAGGGGAAGTTCCGCTTTAAGGACTGCTCCCCCGCTCCCCATTAAGGATTGGCAGCTTTGAAAGGTACCCGCCAAATTTGAAAGGTACCCGCTCACACTTCTGGTCCGATCGCCTAGGAGATCGGAAACGGAAGGTGTCATCCCCCCTCCCTCCCTGTATTCTAATGGGACAAGTGACAGGTCCCAGAAGACTACAGGACCATTCATATCAAGGGGCAAGCTATCACAGTCGGGTGCCCACACCGAAGATGCCGGCCTCCTGGAATACAGGACGGCCGGTGAAACAGATTGCAGGGGACACACCACGGGACCGAGGGACAGGTAAGTGGCTGTTTTTTATATGTCAGCAGCTACAGTTTTAGCAGCTGCTGACTGTTATTTTTTGACAAGGTGAGTAGAACTCCGCTTTAAGATGCTGGCTGTGGTGAGGACACCGCTGGATCCTAGGACAGGTAAGTGGCTATTTTTTAAGTCAGTAGCTACAGTTTTTGTAGCTGCTGACTTTTAATTTTTTCACCAGTGACTGGAGCTCCACTTTAACACCCTGGAACCTAAAGCTGAATCCAGGTATGGCTATTTTGTCAGGGTTACGCTGTTCCACCTGATTGGACAAGGTGGAGATGTGGGGCAGTGATGTCACAATCTATACTTCATCCAAACAGAGCATGCCTTGCATTCTCTGAGACAATGTAGTAAGCAGCAGGGCAGCCATCCAGTGTGGGGATCCCAAAGACAGCACCAATCACTATAGTTGGTGCCTACTACAGTGATTTCCACAGGGATCCCATAGGTATGGCACATCCAAATTACATTGGTCCAAGCTGGACTAATGTAACTATGCAAAAATAGCCATACCTGGAATGCAGTGTAACTCCAGGCAATGTTTTTATATTTTTCTTTTACAGAGTGGTTGAAGAGTTAGAAAATTGGTCACTCCTTTTATGCACCTCACTCCTGCCTATAGGGCACAAAAACATTTTTGCTCACACTGTTTATACTTGTGGTATGCTAAATTGTGATTCCTTCTTGCCAAATGTATGATTTTGTCATTGTATTGCATAACTGGACTGTTACACCTGTTGATGATCATTCAATGGCTATCTATGGCATTGAACCATGTCATTTTGCGTATTTATGCTGTAATATGAAACTAACTTTAATAAAGCACTCAATATTTGTTAAAAAAAAAAAAAAAAAAAAAATCATTCAAGTTTTTTATTGCTTTCTGTGCTCACTTATGAATTCCTGTTCCATGTGCCATCAACAGCATTGTCCTGAGACAGGAAGTGGTGACAAATCTCTTCAATATAAATAACAGCAATAAAAACATTTTAGTAAACAATGGAAGGCTTGAACTTCCATCATTTTGATGGAGTCCCCATTGGTGTCCCCATTGGCAATTTTCCCTCTCATATTCCACCACACTGTCTCTGGCACATGAAGCAAGGTTAAATCTCCCCAAAGGAACTTTATCCAAAATGTTTTGGTTGTACTTACCTTATACATAAAAGAGTTAAGACTTTATTTGTCATCCATATTGGACAACATTTTTGTTCATATTACTCAGTATTTTGCATTTTAAAATATTGGAAATAAGGACCAACCTGCACAGTGTAGCTCCCCACTGTAGTTGCTCTTTTAAATCTTCTTGATTGTTGGCTGGAAAGTTGAAAGAGTATGGCCAGTCTCTCCTCCATTAGTCTTGCAAAACTTTGGTTATTTGACCCCAGTAACTGGGAATCGACCCCCTGAATAACTGTAGAGAAGAGATATTCAAGAACATAGTTACATCTTGGTCTAGTTACACTGATGTAGATCTATAACTTACCCAACTTTTCACAGAGATATTAGAAAGTCATGCCCAGCACATACAGCAGAATATGGTGAACTTCTATTGCACCATGGGATTTAAAGCTCATCAAAACTCACTCGAAGAACCATTCTCAACCAGGGTTCCTCTAGAATTCCTCCAGAGGTTGCTCAGGGTTTTTTGAGCAATGAGCAATTCCTGCCTCTCAGATAAGTAACCACTGACACCAATGACCTTTTTAGCTATCTGTAAGGAGAAGTTCCTCCCAATGACCACAAATGTAAGGAGCATTCTTCCCAGTGACCATCGCATGTTAGCTTTAGCTATAGAAGAGGTTTCCTAAGACCAGAAAGTTATTTCAAAGGTTACCTTACTAAAAAATGTTGAGGCTGCACTGGAATCTCAAACAAGCTTTACAATGGAAGGCAAGTCAAAACTTAACTAAGCTTAAATCTACTCCCGCACCCATTCTAAGCCTATTCTATCTACCCTGTAAAAGAAAAGAAGTCTATACTTACCTATTGTGAAGTCACTCTGGTCTGGTCACATGATCTCTCCAGTGCAGGCTTTAGGTAAAGACAAGATTGCCGACAATGGCTGCAGCGCCTGGACAATGATGTCATCCAGAAGCTTACTATGGGGCATCTGTTGTCGGCTGTCCCTCCTCTACCCTTGTACTGGAAGCCGGTCATGTGAATGGACCGAGTGACTTCAGAATAGGTAGGTATTGACATCTTTCCTTTTACAGAGTAGATGAAATAGGCTTAGAAAGGGAGAGGGAATTTATTTAAAGTGTTACCAAACCCAGGACCCTGCATTCACTATATCTGGTCCCCCACAGTACAGAGAGCATGGAAATGCAATTATTTTAGTAAATGTAAACTGCTAAATACCTTTTCTCATCAGCAGTTAGAGCAGTCTTGTGACTTCTATCAGTGTTCAGCACAGCACTGGTTTAAGCTTGTCGGAGGAGTTTTCTTTCTACTCTAGGAGGATGCAGACCCCTGACCTCTGTCTGTACAGTGCTGATTGGCACTGTACTGATCACATGCACTCCCCCCGCCCCCCCCTCCCCCCAAAAAAAACCTCTCTATCAATACACACCAAACTGAGCATGTGCAGAGTGACTCCACACAATATGTCTTATCAAGAGATAAGAGGGGGACACTGGAGGAAGGAGAGGATCAGAGAAGTCAAGATCAAACAGCATTTTTACACAATGCAGAGGATTAACCCCTTAGGTTCCACAGTTAATGTAACAAGCATGCTTTACTGCATAAACAGACTGTTTTTACTGTTGTGGGTTTAGTAACACTTTAAGCTTAGTTAGGTTTTGACTTGCCTTTGACTTCAGCATTTTTTTTAAATCTGCACCTTTCATTAAAAAAACTGAAGAAAGTCCTTTTTCAGTGATTTCCTGTTATAGGGTGACAACTGTCTCTCAACTGTGCTCACGCATTGTCACTTTGTTCCTGGTGGAAATGACAAGCAGCCATGCTGACACACATTATGCAGACATGTTTCAATGTTGTTGCTATCAGTAAGTTGATCCAGAGCAATGATGTGCAGCTGGCCCTAGAGAAGGGGCGGACTGACCATTTGGAAACTCGGGCACTGCCCGAGGGCCCGGGGTCAGTAGGGGGCCCCATGAGATGCCCCTGGTACCTTTCTCATAGGCTTTTTTGAGTTTGGGCAAGGACACAGGGGCCCCATGATCCCCAATTGCCCGGGGGCCCCATGAGTTGTCAGTGCGCCCCTGCCCTAGAGTACATGCTAGTAGATAAGAAGAGGCCACACGCAGCAACAGCAACACCTACACAAATAAAGGGTGAAAATGAGGAGAAAAACATTATGAAAAAAAATTATAATTATTTATGATGTGCTTGAGCAAGCTAAATGTCATCAATTTAGGTTTTATATTTACTTTAATTCTTCTTTCCAATGTTTTATACTCAATTCAAATCAGATCAAATATAATATACTGAACAGGAGGTGGAGTAGATACACACAGGAACAAAAGTTAAAATCCCTGCATGTTCACACTTCAGTATAAAAAATGGTGATACAACCTTGCACACTAATTTATACAGAATTCCTGTAGAAGAATTGTACGTTGAAATGTAAGATTTACCATGTCTAGGGCTAATTTAACTTTATGCATTATGTACAAATGTGACCTTTTTTTTACTGAAATTTGCTTACTGTATTAATTTTCAGCTAATTAAAGTAAAACTCCAGGAAAAACTTGGCATGCCGGAAATGCTAACTGTTGCTTGTGTTCTCAACCAAACTGTATGAAAATTCTCAGCACATTCCATGACTTGATGAATGTTGTTCAAAAGTACTTCAAAATGTAATTTTCACCCCCTTCCTGCCCAGGCCAATTTTCAGCTTTCAGAGCTGTCTAATTTTGAATGACAATTGAGCGGTCATGTAACACTTTACCCATATGAAAATGTTAGCATCTTTTTCAGAAAGATAGAGATTTCTTTTTGTGGAATTTAATTATCACTGTTTTTTTTATTTTTTGCTACACAAACAAAAAAAAAGTTCTTAATCTCTGTTATAAAATTTTTCAAATAAGTAATTTTTGTTCTTCACTGATGTGTGCTGATTAGGCTACACTGATGGGCACTGATAGGCTACAATGATGGGCTACACTGATGAGGTTGCACTGATGGGTACTGATAGGCTACAATGTTGGGCACTGATTAGGCTACACTGATGGGCACTGATAGGCTACAATGATGGGCACTGATGAGGTTGCACTGATGGGTACTGATAGGCTACAATGTTGGGCACTGATTAGGCTGCACTGATGGGCACTGATAGGCTAAAATGATGGGCACTAGTGAGGCTGCACTAAAGGGCAATAATGAGGCTGCATTGATGGGCAATAATAAGGCTGCACTGATGGGCACTAATGAGGCTGCAGTGATAAGGCTGCACTGATGAGGAAGCACTGATGGGAACTGATGAAGTGACACTGATGGGCACTGATAGGCTACAATGATGGGCACTGATCAGGCTACACTGTTGGGCACTGATAGGCTATAATGATGGGCATTGATTAGGCTGCACTGATGGGCACTGATAGGCTACAATGATGGGCACTGATTAGGCTGCCCTGATGGGCACTGATAGGGTACAATGATGGGCACTGGTGAGGCTGCACTGATGGGCACTAATAGGCTACAATTAAGTTGCTATGGGTAAAGTTCTGATTTAGCATTCAATTTTGGAATAAATGGGCTTGAATTGGGTAAGCTGTAGTGTGATTTACTGAATCCCTTCTCACCGAAACCTGTATAGTTATACAGGAGGAGATTTACTACAGTTGGCTCACTCAGAATCTGGTGCAGCTGTGCACAGTAACCAATCAGCTTCTAACTTCAGCTTGTTCCATAAGCCCGGGTTCACATATATATGCAGTGCGGTATGTCGCATGTAATTTGCACAAGAACGGCACCCTGTGCATTCCTGTGCAAATCACACATTTTTGTATGGGAAACCATCTAATGGCGCACCGCACCTGCAAGGTGCAGGACCCTTTTTTGGGTCCGCACTAGAATTGGATCGCATGGGTATTCACACCCATGTAATCCGATTCTGCACATCGCAATGCGTTTTGTGGACCGCTTTGGGAGTGTTGTTAACTTAACATGCACACCCACAGCGATTCGCATGAACGGGGTGCGATTCTGATGCGGTGCAGTTTGCATAGAAAACGCTGCGCACCGCATCAGTGTGAAGCAGGGCTTAAGCTTTGACAATAAAACCTGGAAGCTGATTGGTTTCTATGTCGAGCTGCACCAGATTTTGCAATCTCCAATTTTAGTAAGAAAAAACCCATAGTCTCATTTTAATTTAGCTAATTAACATACCAATATATTTGCCTGCGTGGGTTTCCTCCGGGTACTCCAGTTTCCTCCCACACTCCAAAGACATGATGGTAGGTTAATTGGCTCCTGTCTAAATTGTCCCTAGTATGTGTATGTATGAATGTGAGATAGGCCCCATGTACACGAGACGTTTGAAAAACACTTCTGACCGATGGAAAATTACTGCTGGAAAACGTAGGTTAAAAAACGTCTGTTTAACCGCATTTGCATACCGCATTTATGCGCGTTTGCGTTTAGAAGCGTTTTTTTTTTTAGATAACCTCAGGAGACCTTCCAAAATGCCCAGAATGCACTGAAAAACAGTAAAAAATTCAGACATTTTGAGAGAAATAGAGAGAGCAGAAGCAGAGAGAGCAGTATGTGTTGAGATGACCTGTCTTTTCTGGATGTATTCACTATGGATCCCATCATGAGCATAATGCGGGACGTTCTACCATTTGTTTCCTTCACGCAAAACCTGGAACTGACTGCGCTGGTGTACCGGGTCCATTTGAATACTTGAAAAACACTTTGCATGTATTTCTGATGATGAAAAAAGGCTCTGGACAGCATCCGGACATGGAAGAGTTAAAAAACACTTCTAAATGCAAACGCTTATAAAAGCAGTTAGCCGCGTTTACAAGCATTTGGAGTTTGAAACACTGATAAAATCTACTCCTGAACGCAAGTTTGGTGCATTAAAAAAAACGACTGTAAACTCAACTGCCTGTAAACGACTGTAAACAACTATGTGTACATGGACACATAGGAAAACATTAGGGAGAGTTCAGGGGCTGCTGAAAAAAATGCAGAAAAACTCCTGAACATCAGTTTATCAGATGCAGTATAAAGGAAACCTTAGGGACCTTAGATTGTACGCCCCTTGAGGGTTCGGGACTGATACGAATGTACAATATATATGTAAAGCACTGCGTAAATTGACGGCGCTATATAAATACCTGTAATAATAATAATTTGGTAGTATTACTGGATTAGTATAGCTACAGCAGCTTTCAAAGCAATTGAATCGAATTTAGTTGTATTTTTATTGCGTCCGCTCTATTT